TGGTACCTAAAATATCCATATTGGTACTTTAAGTGTTTATAGTAGCACCTAAAGATCCTTATTGGTACCATAAATATGCATACTACCTAATGGATCCATGTTGGCACCTTAAATGTGCATAAAGGTGCATATTATTGCTTAAAAGATCCATATTCATACCATAAATGTTTATATTTGTACCTAAAAGATCCATTTTGGTATCTCAAATGTGTATAATAAATCTGCATATTAGCCCCTAAATAATCCATTTTAATATCTTAAATCGGCATATTAACCCATAAAGAATCCATATTGATATCTTAAATCTGCATATTAACCCCTAAATAATCCATATTGATATTTTAAATCTGCATATTAGCCCCTAAAGAATCCATATTGATGTTTTAAATCTGCATATTAGCCCCTAAAGAATCCATATTGATGTATTAAATCTGCATATTAGCCCCCAAAGAATCCATATTGATATTTTAAATCTGCATATTAGCCCCTAAAGAATCCATATTGATATCTTAAATCTGCATATTAACCCCTAAACAATCCATATTGATATTTTAAATCTGCATATTAGTCCCTAAAGAATCCATATTGATGTATTAAATCTGCATATTAGCCCCTAAAGAATCCATATTGATTTCTTAAATCTGCATATTAGCCCCTAAATAATCCATATTGATATTTTAAATCTGCATATTAGCCCCTAAAGAATCCATATTGATGTCTTAAATCTGCATATTAGCCCCTAAATAATCCATATTGATATCTTAAATCTACATACTAGCCCCTAAAGAATCCATATTGATATCTTAAATCTGCATATTAGCCCCTAAAGAATCCATATTGATGTATTAAATCTGCATGTTAGCCCCTAAAGTATCCATATTGATATTTTAAATCTGCATATTAACCCCTAAAGAATCCATATTGATATCTTAAATCTGCATATTAGCCCCTAAATAATCCATATTGATTTCTTAAATCTGCATATTAGCCCCTAAAGAATCCATATTGATGTCTTAAATCTGCATATTAACCCCTAAAGAATCCATATTGATGTCTTAAATCTGCATATTAACCCCTAAAGAATCCATATTGATGTCTTAAATCTGAATATTAGCCCCTAAAGAATCCATATTGATGTCTTAAATCTGCATATTAACCCCTAAATAATCTATATTGATATCTTAAATCTGCATATTAGCCCCTAAAGAATCCATATTGATATCTTAAATCTACATACTAGCCCCTAAAGAATCCATATTGATATCTTAAATCTACATACTAGCCCCTAAAGAATCCATATTGATATATTAAATCTGCATATTAGCCCCTAAAGAATCCATATTGATTTCTTAAATCTGCATATTAACCCCTAAAGAATCCATATTGATGTATTAAATCTGCATATTAGCCCCTAAAGAATCCATATTGATGTATTAAATCTGCATATTAGCCCCTAAAGAATCCTTATTGATATCTTAAATCTGCATATTAGCCCCTAAAGAATCCATATTGATATTTTAAATCTGCATATTAACCCCTAAAGAATCCATATTGATTTCTTAAATCTGCATATTAGCCCCTAAAGAATCCATATTGATTTCTTAAATCTGCATATTAGCCCCTAAAGAATCCATATTGATGTATTAAATCTGCATATTAACCCCTAAAGAATCCATATTGATTTCTTAAATCTACATACTAGCCCCTAAAGAATCCATATTGATATCTTAAATCTGCATATTAGCCCCTAAAGAATCCATATTGATATTTTAAATCTGCATATTAACCCCTAAAGAATCCATATTTATATCTTAAATCTGCATATTAGCCCCTAAAGAATCCATATTGATTTCTTAAATCTGCATATTAGCCCCTAAAGAATCCATATTGATGTATTAAATCTGCATATTAGCCCCTAAAGAATCCATATTGATATCTTAAATCTGCATATTAGCCCCTAAAGAATCCATATTGATATTTTAAATCTGCATATTAACCCCTAAAGAATCCATATTGATATCTTAAATCTGCATATTAGCCCCTAAAGAATCCATATTGATTTCTTAAATCTGCATATTAGCCCCTAAAGAATCCATATTAATGTATTAAATCTGCATATTAACCCCTAAAGAATCCATATTGATGTCTTAAATCTGCATATTAACCCCTAAAGAATCCATATTGATGTCTTAAATCTGCATATTAACCCCTAAAGAATCCATATTGATGTCTTAAATCTGAATATTAGCCCCTAAAGAATCCATATTGATGTCTTAAATCTGCATATTAACCCCTAAATAATCTATATTGATATCTTAAATCTGCATATTAGCCCCTAAAGAATCCATATTGATATCTTAAATCTACATACTAGCCCCTAAAGAATCCATATTGATATCTTAAATCTACATACTAGCCCCTAAAGAATCCATATTGATATCTTAAATCTGCATATTAGCCCCTAAAGAATCCATATTGATATTTTAAATCTGCATATTACCCCTAAAGAATCCATATTGATATATTAAATCTGCATATTAGCCCCTAAAGAATCCATATTGATTTCTTAAATCTGCATATTAACCCCTAAAGAATCCATATTGATGTATTAAATCTGCATATTAGCCCCTAAAGAATCCATATTGATGTATTAAATCTGCATATTAGCCCCTAAAGAATCCTTATTGATATCTTAAATCTGCATATTAGCCCCTAAAGAATCCATATTGATATTTTAAATCTGCATATTAACCCCTAAAGAATCCATATTGATTTCTTAAATCTGCATATTAGCCCCTAAAGAATCCATATTGATTTCTTAAATCTGCATATTAGCCCCTAAAGAATCCATATTGATGTATTAAATCTGCATATTAACCCCTAAAGAATCCATATTGATTTCTTAAATCTACATACTAGCCCCTAAAGAATCCATATTGATATCTTAAATCTGCATATTAGCCCCTAAAGAATCCATATTGATATTTTAAATCTGCATATTAACCCCTAAAGAATCCATATTGATATCTTAAATCTGCATATTAGCCCCTAAAGAATCCATATTGATATTTTAAATCTGCATATTAACCCCTAAAGAATCAATATTGATATCTTAAATCTGCATATTAGCCCCTAAAGAATCCATATTGATTTCTTAAATCTGCATATTAGCCCCTAAAGAATCCATATTGATATCTTAAATCTGCATATTAGCCCCTAAAGAATCCATATTGATATTTTAAATCTGCATATTAACCCCTAAAGAATCCATATTGATATCTTAAATCTGCATATTAGCCCCTAAAGAATCCATATTGATTTCTTAAATCTGCATATTAGCCCTTAAAGAATCCATATTGATGTATTAAATCTGCATATTAGCCCCTAAAGAATCCATATTGATATCTTAAATCTGCATATTAGCCCCTAAAGAATCCATATTGATATTTTAAATCTGCATATTAACCCCTAAAGAATCCATATTGATATCTTAAATCTGCATATTAGCCCCTAAAGAATCCATATTGATTTCTTAAATCTGCATATTAGCCCCTAAAGAATCCATATTAATGTATTAAATCTGCATATTAACCCCTAAAGAATCCATATTGTTGTATTAAATCTGCATATTAACCCCTAAATAATCCATATTGATGTATTAAATCTGCATATTAGCCCCTAAAGAATCCATATTGATATTTTAAATCTGCATATCAGCCCCTAAATAATCCATATTGATGTCTTAAATCTGCATATTAGCCCCTAAATAATCCATATTGATATCTTAAATCTGCATATTAGCCCCAAAAGAATCCATATTGATATTTTAAATCTGCATATTAACCCCTAAAGAATCCATATTGATATCTTAAATCTGCATATTAGCCCCTAAAGAATCCATATTGATGTCTTAAATCTGCATATTAACCCCTAAAGAATCCATATTGATGTCTTAAATCTGCATATTAACCCCTAAAGAATCCATATTGATGTCTTCAGTCTGCATATTAGCCCCTAAAGAATCCATATTGATATCTTAAATCTGCATATTAACCCCTAAATAATCCATATTGATATCTTAAATCTGCATATTAGCCCCTAAGTAGTCCATATTGATATCTTAAATGTTCATATTAGCCCCTAAATAATTCATATTGATATCTTAAATCTACATCCTAGCCCCTAAAGAATCCATATTGATATCTTAAATCTACATACTAGCCCCTAAAGAATCCATATTAATATCTTAAATCTGCATATTAGCCCCTAAATAATCCATATTGACATTTTAAATCTGCATATTAGCCCCTAAAGAATCCATATTGATATCTTAAATCTGCATATTAGCCCCTAAAGAATCCATATTGATTTCTTAAATCTGCATATTAGCCCCTAAAGAATCCATATTGATGTCTTAAATCTGCATATTAACCCCTAAAGAATCCATATTGATGTCTTAAATCTGCATATTAACCCCTAAAGAATCCATATTGATGTCTTAAATCTGCATATTAGCCCTTAAAGAATCCATATTGATATCTTAAATCTGCATATTAACCCCTAAATAATCCATATTGATATCTTAAATCTGCATATTAGCCCCTAAGTAGTCCATATTGATATCTTAAATCTGCATATTAACCCATAAGTAGTCCATTTTGATATCTTAAATGTTCATATTAGCCCCTAAATAGTCTGTCTTGATGTGTTGAATCTCCATATTAGCCCCTAAATAATTGATATGGATATCTTAATTCTGCATATTATCCGCTAAATGGTGCATATTGATGAATCTGCATATAACATCATCAGAAGTATTTGCTTTAATCTAAAGCTCATGCAGAGTTTGTTCTCTGGAATTTGGCTTCGCTCAGGGAAAACCTGTTGCACAATCACTTGTGATAAATGGGATGTCAGGGTGGCCAACTATAAAAGACAGAGTACAGTTAATACACAAGCACTATTAACAGACGGCCACAAGGATTTCTTGAGCAAACATCAGCATCTTCACCTCTTGTATGCATCAACCGCCTCCGCAATAATGAGGTGCTCAGTTTTCGTTTTTCTGGCATGCATGACACTGCTGTCCACAACAGAAGGTAAGCAGACTCCTTTATGAATGTTTGTTGTTGTTGTTATTGTCTGTATTAAAAGAGCTTGCTCACCCAAAAAGAGACCCATCATTTCACTTGTTTCAAACCTGCTTAAGTTTCTTTCTTCTGTTGCACACTAATAAAGATATGCTAACGTACGCTGTGTTAAAAATGGACTGTCATTGTTCCGACTATTGATTTCAGTGTGTTCTTCAGAATATCTTATTTTGAGTTCAGCAGAAGAAAGAAATGTGAGTGTGAGGAAATGTGAAATGTTCATTTCTGGGTGAGCTGTCTCTTTTAGGTGCACAAAGTAAATAAGTGCTGCTTCTTTTCTCTAAGTGTTTGCTGCTCGACTGCCCATCCAGCAGTTACGCTGTCAGTGTGTGAAGACGTATAAGGGAAAACCAATCAATCCCAAACTAATACAGAGTTTACAGACGATTCCTGCTGGAGCGCGGTGCAAAAACATGGAGGTCATGTGAGTCAGAAAAGCGGAGACCAGTGGATTTATGCCGAGTTCAGACTGCATGATTTTCAAAATAGTCGTGTCAGCGATGTTTTCACACTGCATGATTATCTGGGCTGGCGTTTCGTCGCTGCTTTGTTTACATTGCAAGATGGATTGACGACAGGGGCTTTCACATTGCATGACTTTACTATAGGAAGAATCGCCAACAACTTCATCCAAATCACCTCTCACAGCCAAAAACATGAAGTATATCTTTTGTTATTAACTACATAACGAGAAAGAATCCTTTAATGGGGTAGAAAACGTACTTGTTCAACTGGGTTTGAAGGAAATTAGCAATTTCTCCTCAACTTTCTTATTTAACTTTCTGTATGAAACGTCAACAGACACAGCTGCTCCTGCCAAATTTACACTAGTGTTTTCCTCCATTTCTTGGGTCTAAATAAACCTAAAATGAGCGCTTTTAACTTCTCCCTCAACCTCCCGCTGGTCAGCAAGTACACACACACACACACACACACACTCAAGTGAATGCTGCTCTCTCATTGGCTGTAGCCGATGCTATTTTCTGTCAAAACTCATTTCATTCGGCCAGGGCCGGAGCAAGCTGAATTGTCGCTCTAGGCAGAGAACGATCACGGCGCCCTCAACCCCAAGGTGGTGAGGGAGGTGTCGGGGACATAACTTAGGACGCGGGTGGTAAGGGGGGTGTTGCGGACGCCGCCCTCTCTATAGACCTTTTTCATGGCTGCTGCATGGAGGGCGCCATAGCGACCAGCGTCTTCCGGTAGAATGCTAAAAACTTCCGTTTACAGCGTGTACGACTGGTAATTTGCGCTCCGAAAGGGGGTTTCAATAACGTTTTTAATGGATAACAGAGTGTTTTTGTGACACACAACTTAAAAATGTGTCTGTTAAAGCCGTTATAATCTGTCACATGTGGTTCAAGCGCGTCAGAAATACGAGAAAAACGTTCTCCTAGTTCATGTGTCTGCCGTCAGAAATACAGTGGCTGTTTCTCAATTCCAAGAACGCAGAGAACGGACTTGCGTTTTTGTGGAGACTGGTCTTGCCAGGTGTCTTCGGAAGAACGAACTCAGGAGACGGCGAGGGCAGAAAACGCGTCCCTTGAGAAATGAGATGCTGCGTTCTTCCTGATGGTCATGTAACCTTCACTCGTTTTAAATGGAAATTTTTTAAACATCACAGCACTCATACAACGATTTATTGTTTCCCCCCTCTTCAAAATATATATTTTGCATAAAAACACTATAAATATACTCTGCACAATATAAATAAAACAAATTTTAATACGAATTTCAGCAAACAAACACCCCTTAATGTGTTTATTCCTTTATTAAGATATTCATGTTAATGTTTACTTTCACCGTTTCATTTAAGGAAACTCCTGGGGTAAATAAGTGATATCTCTGATTTACAAAAATGACCAATAAAAGTCTGTTATTGATCCTCTGCTGGCTGATTTGCTGTTCATTCTAATCGTGAGCCGTTTGTGTTTTATTTCGTGTGTTGTTTTTACTACAGTTTGTGTTTTTCTGTCATTTCGAAATGACACTAGCCTATATTTTCACTTTGTCACAGTTATTAAATCAGTGTGTCAGTGGCACAGTACAGGCTACGTGTGTGTGTCAAACATTTTGGTGAATTACATTTGTTTGGGCTGGTTATATATTTGAAATAAAGAGAAAATGTTGCGGCCGCCTAGGTCGCCTCTATGGACGCGCTGGCCCTGCACACGGCATGATTTAAATCGCCGACAGCTCCAGATATTCAGCACGCCAAATATCTCACAAGCATCTGCGACACATCGGCGATTCTCTCAGATCGCGTCTTTGATAGTTCATACTGTGTGATTGTCACTCACGTGCATGAGCACTGATTTGCCTGTGATTTCAGGCATTTGTCTGCGATTTCTCAAAAACCGGGGCTAAAATCATGCAGTGTGAACTCAGCATTAGTGGCATACTTAAACATTATATTGATTTTGAAAGAAGTGTCTAATAGATGTTTGTTTGTTTGTCTTTAACAGTGCCACTGTGAAAAATGGGAAGACCTGCCTCAATCCCAAGGATGAATGGGTGACAAAGATCATCGAAGGCAGGAGTGTCAAAGCGCCTACCAGAGGGCCAATTATTACCCTCCCTCCAAATTCTACCTCTGTCCCTCAACTGACGTCAAAAATGTAATGAGATTCGGCACAACAAAACATGTATATTTTTAGCCACAATCACTGTTGTGCAGTCACATATAGCCACTTGTGGTCTTGACCCGCCACCTACTGGACATTTAAAGTACTACACTGTTTATTTAGTTACTTTCAGCTTCTCTCAGTGTGCAGTCAAGAGTAACAATGCAGACTATTTTTTGGAGCTGAAATATCCGTCTGTTAGTGCTCTAGTTTTACCAAAACTCTGCTTTTGTAATTATTTAAGGGTTGTTTGATTATTATCAGTTATATATCATCTGTATTTCATTGTAGAAACACTTCTTCATGGCTTACACATTATGCTGGTGCTGTAACAAATATGATAATTTTGCTAATATTCTATTAAAATAGTCTCATTTGATAGATTTTCCTCATATGCGTATGAAGATTTATATATAAAAGCTATATACATTTGTAAAATTTCACTGCTGGTTGATTTTTAAAGTCACTAAAGTTCCTCGATCTGCTTTCTGATGTTCGCTTTCTGTTAAATCTTTGGTTAAGCAACAATTGGTTGGGACAAAATAATATGAGTTATTATTATGCCTATTATTTGTTGTATTTTTATGGTAATTTAACAGCCCAGGCTCATTCTGAAAACGTACCTCTATATACATTTCTGGAGAGCGCCAAATACTTTGCAGGAGCTACATTTTTTGCAGTTTTTGTTTTCGCAAATCCACTACAAGCCACTGTGTACACTTTTTAAGATCTCAAATTTCTCTCGCGAGTGCCATTTGCACCTGCTGTTCTTGCGTTAATCCCCCAGAGGCCACTGTCGACTGACTGATTGACTGACTGACCGATCGACTGACCCACCCTCCTTTTTCCCTAAATCCAAAGTGTTATCAAAACCACTGATTGACCAGCGCCCACCCTCTTCCCTAAACCCAACCAAGAATTTTAAAAAGCAATCCAGAAAAGGAAAAGCCCTCGCCTGATTTTCACCACGTTTTCATATTTTACCACATTCTCACCCTGTTATTTACTTGTTTATTTAATTTTTTGGCTTCTGTTTTTGTTTTTCCTGCTTTCTGGAACCATTCTTTGCCAGACTCGAATCCCATCACCGTGGTAAACTCCTTTCTGCGTCTCAAGTCCGCCGACATCCATGGCGAGCTATTGGACAAACTGGTAACATCAGGAAAGCACCTATTTGGAGGTAAGCGGTCAGCTGGTAAGTCAGAAAAGGAACGCAGCCTCATTTTCGTTCAAAGACTAAATGCGGCCATACGTACTTCTGGATACATAATTTGTGATCTCCTGAAATGTATATAGGGCTACGTTTTCAAAATAAGCCTATGTTGCAAATTAAACTACCCCTTCAATATGGACAAAAATGTATGTATAGCGTTTGGCCGTACACACAACAGCCACAGATATATTTCTGCAGCTGTTTTTCCGCAATTAACCTTGCTGATTTGCATTATCACTGGTGACAGGTCATGCTTGAAATATAGACATGTCGGTTGTCCTTAGATGCATCAATTATTTACAATTTTTCTTGTGCTTGAATGTTAAAACGGCCTCGTCAGTGAAATGGCCTCCCGTCAATTTGAGTTTGAGACTCCTGATTAAAGAACATTTCATTTTGTGTGTGTGTGTGTAGATATATTTTTCCTATGCATGATTAGTTATGTTAAATGCAAGCCTATTAAATTCTAAGTAAATGTTAAAAATATTTTAAAAATGCACGCTGTTTTGCCTGGAAGCACTCTTTCTTATCCTTAATTTTGAATGTAAAACAAACATGTATTTTCCATCTTCAGCTGTTTTCTGAAAGCGTTCTTTCTCCATTTTTAATCAAGATTTTCTATTGGGATCATGATTGGTGGATCAACGACAGATGAAGCTTTAAAAACGAATGTGTAAAAATGTAAACACGAAAAACATCTTTTATTTGTTGAATAATATTTCCTTTCAAGCATCAAAAAAAAAACACACCCAGCACTCATTCATTCAGTCATTTTCCATCAGCTTAGTCTCTGATTTATCAGGGGTCACCAGAGGAATGAGCTACCAACTATTCCAGCATATGCCCTTCCAGCTGCAACCCTGTACTGGGAAACACCCACACACTGATATTGACACTCATGCACCACAGCCAATTTAGTTTTACCCAATTCACCTTTAGCGTATGTTTGGACTGTAGGGGGAAACCGGAGCACCAGGAGTAACCCACGCCAACCTGAGGAGAACATGCAAACTCCACACTCAAAAGGAATCTTGAGACTTATTTTCATCATCATTCATTAATTTTCTTGTCGGCTTAGTCCCTTTAGTAATCCGGGGTCGCCACCGCGGAATGAACCCCCAACTTATCCAGCACGTTTTTATGCAGAGGATGCCTTTCCAACCGCAACCCATCTCTGGGAAACATCCACACACACTCAGCGACCTTCTTGCTGTGAGGCGACAGCACTACCTACAGCACCACTGCATCGCCGCACTTGAAATTTTCATAAATTTTTTTTTTTTGATGTGGTCATTAAAATAATGTGCATATTTTCTTTTGAAAATTGATATTCTGGATTTATTATAAAATATTGAGAAGATTTTGCTAACCCATGCGCTACAAAAACCTCCACTCACTCACCGGCTGGAATCCAAATCAAAGTGACCGTGACAAAAATAAACTGTGAACATGCATTTCAAATACTATTGTAAGTGAACAAAACGTGTAAAAAGGACACCTTAAAGTTTTACCAAACATAATATGGACTTATGATATGCGCTCTTAGAAATAAATCCATTAAAACTGCTGCTGAAATTGTTCAATTGAAATAGTTTTTATTTCTCTAGCGCTTGTTTGTAGATTGTGTCAAAGCAGCTTAACACAGAAGATTAGTGAACTGACAACAGTGTCGGTCCAGATTTCAGAGTTCAGGTCAGTTTAATTTTCATGGCTGAAAGTCCAAACACTGAAGAGCAAATCCATCGATCCGCAGCTCCACAAGTCTCAAACCAACCAAGCCAGTGGTGACAGCAGATGTCAAATTTCAACTTCACCAATTGACAAAAGTGAAGGAAAAAAGAGAGAAACCAGGCTCAGTTGAACATGATAATTTCTCCTCTGGCCAAAATGATATTAAGTTTCAAACTATAAAACATCAGTGACTTTATTTTAAGTGAAGTTTATTCATAAACTAATTTCGAATATGATTGACATGGCTGGCCCCGAGTCAAGCTAATGTACGAAACACCAATCAGACTATTCCTAACCAAGTATAAATAACCAAACACCTTACCTTTAGTCATCTTCGTCTTGGATAATCCCCCCTTCCACCCCTCCGCCTCCTCTTTTGTCTACAGGGCAGCACGGCGGCCCAGTGGCTAGCACTGCGGCCTCAAAGCAAAATGCCTTCGGTTCGGGCATTTACCCAAATGGTCAGCATTTTTATGTGGAGTTCATGTTCTCCCCGTGCATGCGTGGGTTTTCCCCGGGTCCTCCGGTTTCCTCCCACACTCCCAAAAACATGACTCTTAAGTAAATTGACTAAACTAAATTAGCACCAAATTTGATTCAATTCTGTCAGCAACGCATCCCCTTAGCAACCCACACACAGCAGGAGGGGGGTTCTCGAGATCTACCCGAGCTCAAACTCCCCTCTCGCCCTGCAACGGGAGGGAGCCCCGGGACAGCATGCCAAACTAGCTTATTACCAATCATCAGCTAAGTGTGAACTCTTGAAATTAGTTAATGAATAGTTCATGTTAATGGTTAAATAACTAATGAATAAATAGGTAATGAATAGTGCAGGTCGAAAGCATCGGTGAATAAAAAATACCTGAGAATATTGAGCTATACCAGCTGTTTCTGTTTAAATAAGTTCAAGCAAGTATTAATAAATGAGGTAAACTATTGCATAGGAATGCTGAGAGCCAAAAGTATTTATCTTTTGGTCTCTGGGGAAATGTCCTAATGGTGATTTCATAACGCATTCATCATGAAGTGAATTTTCCTCTTTTTTTTGTTCCTACAAAAGTCCTATAAAGACCCTCTCTCTCTCTCACTCTCTCTCTCTCTCTCTGTAGTGTGTAAATGCGTAATGCTGCAAAAATGCTTAATGTGAAGCTACACCAGAAGATTCATCAACGGATGTGTTTACTCATATGTCTTCATGCAGTATATGCTCCTGAAGTGACGCTGACCTCCTCCTCCATGTATTTTATAGTTCTGACAGATTTATCTTTCCCGATAACATGACTCTGTGCACGTGAAAGCCTCTCATGTGCTTTCGTAATGTCTGTTCAGTCTCACATTTGCACCACCATACTTTTGGAAAAGAGATTTAAGAAAGTATTTATATACACTCACCGGCCACTTTATTAGGTACACCTCTCCAACTGCTGGTTAACGCAATTTTCTAATCAGCCAATCACATGGCAGCAGCTCAATGCATTTAGGCATGTAGACATGAGGTGCGTTCGACATGAAGCTCAGCTGCAGCCGGTGATCAACGAGATTAGCCGAGCGCAGGCGGGGGCGGAGTTGAAAACGGAGCCGTCAAGACGGACAGCTGGACACTTCGGGACTCAAAGTTGCTGCAGTCATGAAGACCGATCATATATATATATATATATATATATATTTGTTATTTTTATTTATAACAACACAACATTTACAAATAAAACAGATTACAGTCTCTACAAACTATACAATAAGGGAGAATTATGGATAGCATATAACAAATGCATGAGAGAAATGAGAGGAAATGAGAGGTTAATATAAACATAAAAACGAACAGGTCTATTAAATACAAAGCAATAAGCATAAATTCTAGGAGTTTAACATCAATCTTTAGGCTAATACTTCTTGTTTGAATATGCTAAAAAAAGGGTTGACATATATGTACATTTATAGATATAAAAATTTCCAATGTAAAATGCTAAACAAGGTGTTTTGATCAGGTCTTAAGAAATGAGATTATTTTGGATAATGAATGCATTTTCAAAAAAGCATTTTAATCCAAAAAGATTGTGTTGAAAAGAACAAAAGG